GTTTATGGGTACATGGGTCTTTCTGATTTAGAAAGCCTCATTCCCTTCAATTAAAATATACCCCCTGATTGTCTTGGATTTAAGAATGAGCCATCAGATATTGCTGAACCACCCTTAATTAAATATTTTTCTTCTATTTTTAATCTTGAAAATATAATCGTCGAGGTATGGCAAATTTGGGGTACGACAGGGACAATGGTGATAATAGTAGGCTTGCAGGAAGAAATCCAAGACTGATTGAGAAAACCTGGTCCAACCTCCTTTCTACATGAACTACGCCAATCCTACCATTAGACGAAGTAAAAACGAGCCTTTTATAGGCATATCAACCAGAGAATTGTGATTAACCCAATATTGAAAATTAGTTGTGGAGGGCCTAGAGGGGGAGCATCTAGCCCTATGCTCATGCGCTCCTAGAATGGTATTGAAATTGCCAATGAAACAACACGACTAAACATAGGAATTCTGAAGGTTGGTAAGATTACTCCAGAGCTCTTTTCTCTTATAATGGCAAGTTGAAGCATAAATGGCAGCAAAACAAAGATTAACATTCTCCCAAACTAAAGAGAAAGTAACATACTGGTCCGAGACATGTAAGATATGAGGGTTAAAGTTTTTGGAACAAACACACCAAAGGTTAGGCAAATTTTGGGGTTTAAGATTACTGGCAAAGTTTTAAGGTTAAGGGAGTTAAGAAAGTTTGGAGGAAAATTTTCAAGATCCATCCACGGTTCATCCAAAAAACAGAGATCTATTTTTTGAAGACATAAAATATTTTTGAGAACCAATTTGGTGGGGGCATTAGCCAGGCCTCGTGCATTCCAGAAAATGCACTTCATCTTGATAGATGTTTAGAAGAACCAGAATGAGATATGGTAAAATAGTCGGACTTAACTTTTGCCTTCTCCCTTATTTTCTTTTTCTATGATTTTAGGATGGCTAGCTGGAACTTTAACACTTCAGGATCGAAGTCATCATCCTCATTATCGGATATGAACTCTTCCTCCTGGTTTTCAAAAAAATTATCCCAAGATTTCTTTAAAAATTCTGCATTTTTCTGCAGAGAGTCAAATCTGTTGTTCCCAATATCATTGGCTTGTATGGCATCTACAAATTTCGAATCCTCTGAACTCGATTTCTATTTACTACTCAACTCCTTATCAATCTTCCTTTGTTTGACCAAGCAATTTTGACTGACCCGAGGAGATTTCTGGTTGGAGACCATGACTTCAGTAATAGGCTCCAAGATAGGCACAATAATAGGGTTATGTTTGGTTAGGTCCACCATCTCAATGTTGCTATTGATGTTATTCAAAACTACTTCTTCCAAGGGAGTTTTCAAGTTCTCTTTGTGATGATTTTTGGATGTCTCTCCCTTGTGACTCATGTTCTGGTTATGGTTGTTTGCTTCAAGGCTAGATTTCTTTTTACAATCTTTTATGTTATGCCCAATCATTTATAGAAACTGCAGAATGGAGGCAGCTTCTTGTATTCAACTTCCACGAAAAAAGAGAATCCTACTCTTTCCACAAGAATCTTATAAGTAAGATCCTTGGAGATATCTAAATCCACTAAGACCCTCACAAAGTGACCAAAAGCTCTATCAAAAGAAGGCTTGTTTGAAGTAAAGTCAATACATATCAGAGTGCCTATACTACTATCAATGAAAAAAGGATCTTAGGTCTCCAGTAATCTTGGGCTAAACCATGAATACGAATCCAAACTTGAGCTGACGATTGGTTCAACGTTGAAGGTGTGAAATCCTTTGACCACGGGAAAAGTTCCAGCACACCAGGGTTAAGACTCCAGGAGTTGATGGATCCCACCCTTCGCACATGTTCAATGTTGGAGAAAGAGAACTCGTAGAATCCCTTCCCCGGAGAAGTTATCCCCCACCTTGAGATTGAAGTCCATAGCGCCGCCATCTTGGTACGCAGAGCCACCACTGTAAGAGGGCTCGAACCTTTGGGCCAGATTATTCTTCTGTGCAAATTGTGCTTACAAGCTTCCAAGCCAAGTTGGTACTCTTCTTCTGGAATGGTTATCGAAAGCCTATCTCATTTGACACAAGGTGTGGGGAGCTGACTCAAAGGGATATCACAAACATTTGTTAAAGCTTCAGCGAAGGTTTTGTTTGCTTTGGTTACTACGGGTAGAACAGTTTTCGCAACATTTGCAGTTTGGGCAAAAGGAAGAGGCGCTGAGAAGTTGCAGGTTTCAAGAAAAAGAAAGACATCTATGGTGTAACAGAAGGGAAGAGAAGAAGAAATTAGGTCACCGCCCCTCTTCATGTGCAGTGTAACCCTTTTCAAGCATCTTTTATAAACATTTACAACAAATACGTAACCAATTTCAAGAGTAGACCATCAACAAAAAAAATTAAGAAATAAAGCTAAACATAACCTAATTAAATAGTTTAGAATTCACAATCTCACTTACAACACAATGCATTAAGATTTTAAGTATTCCATCCCATTTTATAAATATTTCACTTTTTATTCTATTCAATCATTTGAAGTAGTATGTAACGGAATAAAATTTTATAATCAAAATACTTGAATAATTTATTTTCTTCTACTCTGGTTTATTCCATTAAATTTCATTCTACTCCATTTTAATCTAATAATTCAGACATCTTTATTGAATGGAAGAAAAAACTTAAACATTATTATTTGTTATTATGTAATGAGTCATAGAGCAATAAATATTTTTTTTTTCAAAAAATAATTTTTAGAAAAATAACTTTTAAAATAGTAACAATTTTTAACTTGTTTTTTATATGTTACAATACTAATTTTGATATTAAATAACTTAAATAATATTATTTAAATTTAAAAATATAGTCAAAATCACATAATTTCTTAAAAAGATATATTTTAGAAATAGTATTTATGATTAGCTCTTTAAAATAGCTTGAATTTATAAAATTTTAATATTCAATTTTTTTAAAATAAAACAAGAGCTATTTAAAATGAAATTTTATAAAAATTATTTAAATTAATTTTTATTGGAAATTTTTTTAATTCATTATAATTTTTTAACATAAATATAAAAATTATTTTAAAAAGAGTGACTAATGTAATAGTGATATCTAAGATTGTATTTGTTTTAAGGTTGGAAAAAATATTTTTGAAAATATAGTCATGAAAATACAATATATTCATGTTTGATTTAATTTTTTTAAAAAAATATTCTAACTCATTTTATTTTGAGAAACTTAACTTACACATGATTATTCTATTTTGTTTCAAGGTTTAAAAGGTGGGAATCCAACATCTCCATAAGAATAATGTTTAATTAACTAAACACCGTACTACTACAGACTTTTATTTATTTATTTATTTATTTTATTATAATTTTTGTATTAAATAAATATTATAAACATTTTAAAGAAATTCAATTTTTGCCAAATACTTACAGAAGATTATTATTCTAAAAAATAATAATAACGAGAATAAGATTCTAAAAAAAATAATTACCCATCTCAAATTATAAGTCATTTTAACAAAAATATTTGTCCCAAATTATAAATCACTTTATAATCTCAATACATTATTAATGACTTTTTACCTAATATATTTAGAGTCTATTTGGTAAAAATAGCAGTTGCCTAATAAGTTAGCTGATAGCTTATAACTTATAGCTGATGACTGATAACTTATAGTTTATAATTGATAGTTGAGACTGTTAGCTGATAAGCTAATTGAAGTGTTTGGTAAAATTAGCGGTTCAATTAACTTATAAATGTAAAATAACATAAAAAATATTTAATATAGAATTATTTTATTTTAACTTAAAATAAATTATAGAAGATAAAAGTGAGTTTTTGTTAAAATAATAAAGATAAAAAAGGAATAAAAAATAATAAGCTATAAGCTACTCTCTTTGTTTCAAAATGACTGTCGTTTTTAACAAAAAAAATTATATTATTTCAAAATGACTGTCGATCTCACTTTTTAAGGTAATAATGATTACTAATTTTTCAATTGTGTCATTTACTTTTTACTCTCTACACTATTTTAATATATTAATAGAGTTAATTTTATAAAAGTGTAATGTCTTATGACAATATCATTGTATTCTTTAATTTGCGTGCAAAAATCTTAAACGACCATCATTTTGAAATAGAGAGAGTATAAACCATAACACTATTTAAAATAATGTCTGAAAAATAAATTATAAACTACTAAAATAAGCTATAAGCTCGTGATCATAAGACCATTATCAAACATGTCTAAAATATCATATGAACTTATAAATTATAAGTCATAAATTCAAAAGTGTCTTACCAAACAAACACTTATTTGTCTTTCATCTTTTTATTTTTTAATTTCGTTTTTCAACATAATTATTGAATGACGTTTTTGTCAAGTAGTTCATTATTTATTTTTTCATAAAATAATAATTATATTTTTTAATTTATGTGAAAGGATCGAAACGTCTTATAATTCTAAGAGGATAGAAGTAAAATTTCTTAAAGAAACACACCCTAATTGTTTAAGGATTATTAACATTATTTTGATGAGTTAAAATAATGACTAATGGAGTAGTAATGCCTAATTATTTAAGATTAATTTCTTATGAACATTATCACTCACCTCATAATCTTTTCACGTTAATATTTTCCTAAAGCAAAAGAATCAATCAAACTCTCCAATCTCCCACAAACTTTCTTTCAACTCCAACACTAAATCATCATTATCTCTCACTTTTCTTTCCTCACTCAATTACCAACCTAAAGGAGCAATACACCAACATGCCCATGCTCTCCCTCAACTCATCTTTATCTCTATACATCTTCAAAACTCTCTTCAACTCAATATTATTGGAATTCAAAGTTCTATTTCTAACCACTAATCCTCAAGAACTCAAACAATGGAATCTCCAATCTTCCTCAATCTCAACCTTCTAAACAACATGCTCTTCTTCATACCAACCCAAAACAAAAAACACCAACTTTGTTAAGACACAAAAACACAAACAAGTGGAAACATTTTCACATGGAAATTCACAAAAACACAAACAAGAAATGGAGAGGTTCCAAAAAGGAATCAAAATGGAAGAAAATGATTTTCTTCCACACTTCAAAAACTACCCAAAATCCACCTCAAGAATTTCTCTGCCCCATTTCTGGATCTCTCATGTCTGACCCTGTAATTGTCTCCTCCGGCCATTCCTTCGACCGAACCTCAATCCAAGCCTGTACAAATCTCAACTTTACCCCTCAACTCCAAGATGGCACCACCCCCAATTTCACAACCCTAATCCCAAATCTTAACCTCAAATCCTCAATTCTCAAATGGACCCAAACCCAATCCCAAACCAAAATCCAAACCAACCAAAATCTCACCACAACTGAAAACCTCGTACGTACATTAATGTCCTCAAAAAAACATCAAAAACCCCAAAACGACATCGTACAAGAAAAAGAAACACTACAAATCTCAATCTTAACACCACGAAAAACCTCGTACTCAAGCTCAGAGGAATCCATAGCAACTGCCACGTCATCATCAACAACAACACCACCACAATTTCAAAGCTTCTCTTACTCTTCACCTTCCTCTTCTGAAATTGAGCCTTCAACAACACCAGAAGAACAAGAATTCGTGACCAAACTCAGAAACCCTCAATCGAATATCGTAGAAGAAGCTCTAATCTCTCTCAGAAGAATCACAAAAACGAAAGAAGAATGTAGGGTTCAACTCTGCACCAATAGGATTCTCTGCTCTTTGCGTTCTTTGATTTTGTTCAAAAACGAGGTTGTAAGAGTCAACGCTCTTGCTTCATTAGTCAACCTTTCGATCGAGAAAGTCAACAAAGTGAAGATCGTACGGTCAGGAATTGTTCCACCGTTGATTGAGGTTTTGAAATTTGGATCCAGTGAATCGCAGGAACATGCTTCGTGTGTGCTCTTTAGTTTAGCGCTTGATGATGATAATAAAACTGCGATTGGTGTTTTGGGTGCTCTTTTGCCTTTGCTTCACGCGCTTAAATCAGAGAGTGAGAAGACGCGTCATGAGTCGAGTTTGGCTCTATGTCATTTGTCTTTAGTGAAGAGTAATAGGGTTAAGATGGTTAAACTCGGGTTTGTTTCGGTTCTTTTGGGGATGGTTAAGTCGGGTTATATGATGGATCGAGTTTTGTTGATTTTGGGTAATTTGGGGTTTGGGTTGGATGGTCGGGCTGCAATGTTGGATGCAGGTGTCGTGGAGTGTTTGGTGGATTTGTTGAGTGGGACTGAGTTGGATTCTGAATCGACTCGTGAGAGATGTGTTGGGGTTTTGTATACACTGAGTCATGGCGGGTTGAGGTTTAAGGCGGTGGCGAAAAAGATTAGGGTTGTGGAAATGTTGCAAAAGATGGAGAAAATGAAGAGTGAGAAAACTAATGATAAAGTGAGGAGGATATTGGAGATTATGAGCGAGAAGGAGGTGGAGGAGGAAGAGGTGGATTGGGAGGAGTTGCTTGACTCAGGGTTTACTGGTCGAACTATGAGTCAACTCAATTATGGAACGAGCGAGTCAATTGCTAACTCGAACAAGTTTTGAATATATCTGATATTTTTGTTTAAAGTATTTTTTTAATGTAATTATTAGTTTTTGCTTTTTTTTTGTCATGTCAAGGATGTTGATGGGTGTAAATTGGAATTTATGCTACTTTCATTCTTATTTTTACAATTTTACCATCACTTTTAATAGAATTTTTTGTTTTACTTTTTATTTGGTTTGTGTGTATAATGAAGGACAAATCAATGGATTATTAGTTGTAAAGGGAAATAAGGAAGATAATGTTGTTTTTGGTGGAATAAAAGAAGATGGGGATTAATAAAAGTTGTAATTTTTTGAAGAAGAAAGTGCCAAGGTATTGTTGGTGCATATGCTTATGCTACCACTTTATTCCTACACTTACTACATGTTCTAGCTGGTTATGCTTGCTTTTCATGTTTAGCTTTTCTTTTTCAATTCTTTTGCACTTAAATTTTAGTATGTGAAGTGAATAATTAAAGTTTAAATTATATTCTTTTTAGTTAGTTTCAACTAACTCCAACTAGTCAATTCTAGGATTGTCGATTATGAACTTTTTTATTAGAAGAATTAGTTTCTATCATCCAGAGAATATTAAAATTTATATAATAAAAATTATATAGAAATAGATGGCAAATTTTACCTTTTAGATGACAAAAGTGGTAAAGTTTAGAGTGAGGTCCAATTAAATCTCTCACCAGTGAAATTTCTAGATTAAATAAATACTTCACATCTAATATAATAAAAAAGAGAACACATAAAATCATCTGCAAGAAATTATTTATATATAGTGTTACGGTGGTATTCTTACATTTCGTAAGAATTTTTTTTTGTTAAGTTTCAGTTTTTTCTGAAACTTTTTTCGTTAACGACTTATTATCGATTTTTTTCTATTCTCTCAAGCTTTATCCATTTTTTATGTTTCTCTCAATTTTCTCACTCAGCAGTTTCAATTCTTAATCCCAGCTCTAACTCACTTTCTTCTCCAATTAGTTTCAATTTTCTCGACAATTTTAATCACTAATCAACAATTGCGTTTCTGAGCGACACAGAATGGTCAATTAAGAAAATCTCTTTTAATTGTCGTTCAATTATCTGGTGTGGACATTTTTTCAATCAAAATATTTGTTAACTAGTTTTTTTACTAGTTTTGTTGGTTGAGGAATTTCAATTGAATTTTGCTTTAAATCTAGGAGTTTATGGTGGGAGATTTGTGTTGACTTTGATTTAGGGGTTTCTTTGTTGAATTAGGTTTGAGATTTCTGTGGTTAATTACTGGTGATGGACGATATTCTTAGCTTGAACTTGAAAATATTAAGTCCCCATGAGACAAGGAAAATTCAATTTTCAAGTTGGAGATGGCTTATGCGTTCTACAACAAGTATGCTAAAATGAACGGGTTTGCAGTTCGCAAGAGCTAGATCCTTCGAAGTAAGAAAGGAGAAATATTACAGCGAACAGTTATTTGTCACAGACAGGGGTTTAGGGAGGATAAAGGTTTAACAATAGAAAATCGTAAGTGTGATCGTAAACCCGAGACTCGGTCTGGATGTGAAGCAAAATTTTGAATGCATATAGATATGTTCTCACAATTTTGCTGGATAACAGTTTTTAACGATCAACACAACCATGAGCTTTTAGATGAAGAGTACCATGGAATGCCTGCTTCACATCGAAAAATGAAATATTCAGATATAATGCAGATCAACGACATGTTGAAGTTTTGTATAAGGCCGTCTCAATTCTATGGTTCTTTTGCCAACCAATCAGAAGGGTGTGAAAAAGAGGGTTTCGTAGGAAGGATATATATAATCAGATTGGAAAGCAACAACTTTTGCAATGATGTGATGGTAAAAATGCTTTACACTATCTTCATGGACTGACATCATATGACTCAATGATGTTTTATCGCCACACTGTTGATGGAAAAGGTAAGTTTGAACACCTTTTTTGATGCGATGGTATAAGCCAAATGAATTTCAAAGTTTTGGTGATGTGTTGGAATTTGATGCAACGTATGGGACGAACAAATACCATTGCCCTTTAGTGGTGTTTTCTGGATTTAATAATCATAATCATAATATTATATTTGGCGCTGCTATTGTTGCAAATGAAAAAGAAGAAACATATGTGTGAGTTCTTGAACAAATTTTGAAAGCAATGTCAGGTAAATCGCCTATTTCTATCATTACTGATGGCGATCTTGTAATGAAGAAATCTATAAAAAGGGAGTTTCTGAATGCTTATCATAGGTTGTGTGCTTAACATCTAATTCGCAATGCAACGTCCAACATTGAAGTTCTTGAATTTGTTAGTCAGTTTAGGAAATACATGTTGGGTGACTATGACCTGAGCGAGTTTAGGCGCAAGTGGGCTGGCATAATTGACGCATTTGGGTTGCATGACAACAAGTGGGTTACAGAACTATGTGCAAAGAAAAAAACGTGGGCTACAACTCATATACGCAGAAAAAAACTTGTTGGGTTCAGAACTACCTCCCGGTGTGAGGGGTTACATTCAGTAATATGGATGTTTCTTCACTCATGATATAATTTAAGTGAATTTTTATTACATTTTCACCGGTGTCTTAATTACATGCATTATAAGGAGGTCGGAACTGACTTTGCATCAAATTACAGTGATTTTGTGCTACAAACAAGATTTCAAAGCATGGAGCGTTGCGCTGGGAAGTTACTTACTAGAGGAATATTCTTTATTTTTCATGATCTTCTTGCATGGTCTGCGGAGATGATAGTGGCAACATGAAATCAAAGTTATACATGTTTCATATACACAGTTTACAAGTACCAAGCATCAAAAAGGGAGTGGAACGTATCGTTCTATCCTGACGACGAAGTGTTTAAATGTTCTTGCAAGAAGATGGAATCATTTGGCCTCCCGTCTGAGCATATCATTGCACTATTGATTTTTTTAGATGTCGCAGAATTGCCAAAGACTCTGGTGGAAAATCGGTGGACAAAGAACACGAAGGAAGAAATATGTAGAACAAATAAACATCTTCCAAAATATTGGGATTCACACAATTCGTCGAGATATTCTGCTCTTATGTTTCGATATATGCGTTTGAGCAAATTAGTAAGTGAGAGTGGTGATGAATTCGATGACCATATGAAACAGACTGCTGCTGATATCCGAAAGATGGAAGAAAAAAGGGGTTTACTTGATGATGGAGCCACAAATTCAAGTAAATTTGTCAATGTGACATTTAAGGATCCTGTTGTAGTTAGAACTAAAGAATGCGCTGAGGAATCTTCATCACGTAAGAAAAAAAGGAAGCGAACTCAGTGTTCTACTTGCGGAAAATTCAGGGCATAACAAGCAAATAATGTTCAATATCTTTACATAATGCTAACACGACACATTCGTCATACGGAGATTTTCACAATATTGAATTAAGTGATGACTCTGTAAACGATTTTTTTAATGTTGTTATTTAATGGTATCGTTATATATATGCCACATTTCCCATTTTCTCTATGGTATAACCCATAATTAATTTCATAATAATGACTTACTTTGATATTATTATAGGTTGAGCTTTCTAATGAAGTTGAATTTGTGGTTCTAGCTTGTGACGCCATATGTTACTCTTATGCTTTCATATGTCCATTTGATTATAAATGTTGTGATTTATTTGAGAGTTATCAATAATTTGGTCAATAAAATATAATACTTGATGGTATTTTCAATTTTTTAATAACAGATTGTAATTTTCATTCTAGGCACACCTTTTAGACATATTTCAATAAACTGATACCTTATGTTTGATTTTAGCATATCCAGGTGTTATCTGCTAAAATATTGTTGACACTTGATTTGATTTTGAAATTGTGTAGGTTGCACATGCCCCTTCATACTTTCTGTGAGTTTTTGTTGCTAACTGTTTCGGGCAGTGGTGTTGACGGTTCGGCTGAAGCATACTAGTCGAGTCAATTGCTAATATGTGTTGTCTGTTCTTTACTATTTTTTTGTGCAGAGGTGGTTGCAATAAGATTTCTTTTCTTGAAATAAAAAGACATACATCCTTTTTTCATTATAATTGAGAGCACAGTAACTCATCTGCGAAAGCTAATTCAAGGGGGATAATTGTTCTAAAGTAATTATAAGGAACACTTTGACCATATATCTCGCCAATGTGGGATCTTAACAGTTTTATGCATGATGTCATTCATTATTTGGCAAAAAGTCCGGCTTGAAGAAGAAAGAGAAACCGAACAAGATTGTTATCGTTAAACAATAACAATGAAAATTGGGGAAGAAAGAAATTAGAGTTTTAGAAAATATAGAAGAGAAAGATGATTTTTCTGTAAAGTTACTCTTTGTCCACAAACTATGAAAAACTTTCTTATCCATTTGTAACTATAAATTTTGTAAATATTCAATGTGTTATGAGTTGATTACAAAAATAGGGATTACTACCTCCATTTATAATGAGCTTGCTTTCTCTCTAAGTCAAAAATCCCAAAACTATAAAAGTCCAAAATACTTGTTTTAGACCTAAATTGAAATCTCTGTGTAGTAACCCGCTGACAACAGTTTGAAAACTACCTACAACTCGACATAGTAAGTTTTTCGACACACCTTGTATCGAGCAACAACTTTCTTCGACACAAGGAATTACACTTTCAGCACACCACCTAATTCATTGTGTCTAAGCTATCTATATTCATCATAACTTTTAGTCTTCTGAATACTTCGACCTGCACACCCTTCGTCATGATGTCTGTAATATGATTATCAGTTATGCAGTGTTCCAAGTTCATCTTCCCACTTGCTACCTGCTCTCAAAGATAGTGAAACCTCATTTCGACGTGCTTGCTTCGACCATGTGCTATTGGGTTCTTCGCCAGATTGATAGCTGACATGTTGTCGATCTTCATGATAATTGTTCCATGATCTTTCCCTGTGATTTCTTCGACCAAGTTCACCATTCATGTTGCTTGACATGCACAAAGAGAAACATCGATGTACTCTGCTTCGCACGATGATAATTTCACTACTGGTTCCTTTCTCGAACTCCAAGCAAATGGTGCACCACCTAGCATAAACACATATTCTACTGTGAATTTTCGATCCTCAGCATCACTATACCAACTTGAATCAGTGTACCCCACAAACTTGCATTCTTTTCCTTTATCAAATGCAGGAAACAAAATACCATAATCGAGAGTTCCCTTCAGATACCTTAGTATCCTCTTCGTCGCTGCTAGATATGATACCTTTGGTTTCTACATGAATCTACTCATCATACCTACACTGGATGCTAGGTTAGGCCTTGTGTGACAAAGGTATCTTAATGACCCAATAAGTCTTCTGTATTGGGTTGGGTCGACATCATCTTCATCTGCATCTTTCGACAGTTGCAGTCTTGGTTCTACAGGTGTCGAAGTTAAGTTGCATTCTTCCATTTCAATTATTTTGAGAATTTCTCCTGCACATCTTCTTTAATGCATTATCAAACCTGTACTATTCTTGTAGAATTCAATACCAAGGAAATATGAAATTTTGCCCAAGTATGACATTTCGAATTCCTTGTTGAGATCACCTTTGAAGTCTTCGATCTCCTTCTTGCAGCTACCTGTTATTAACAAATCATCGACATAGAGACATAGTATAAGAAATTCACTATTGCTTCTTCTTACATATACTCCACGTTCAGTTGTGCACTTCACAAGTTCCTTATCCCTTAGAAAACTATCAATCTTCTTATTCCAAGCTCTTGGAGCTTGTTTCAATCCATACATGGATTTATGTAACATGTACACCTTTCTATCTTCGCTATGCTTCATAAATTCAACTGGTTGTGAAACATAAACTTCTTCATCTAAGGGTCCATTCAGGAATACACATTTCACATTCATATGACATATGTGCCAACTGTTCATTTCTGCTAGACCAACAACCAATCTGATTGTTTCGATTCTAGAAACATGTGTAAAAACCTCATCGAAGTCAATTCCTTCTTTTTGAAGAAATCCTTTCGTCACAAGCCTTGTCTTGTGTCAATTTACTTCCCCTTTGAGATTCAACTTCACCTTGTATACCCACTTGACATTGATTGTCTTCTTACCTTGAGGCAATTCAACAAGTGACCAAGTGTTGTTATCTTCGATGGACTTCACTTCTTCATTCATTGCTTTCACCCACTTCGAATCTTTAAATGCTTCAGTTGCATTGACAGGTTCGACATTTGCATAGAAATCATAATGTACCAGCTCACCTTCATTATCGACCACATCATCTGATGTAATAACACAATCTTGCAACCTTGCAGACATGTGTCTTATTCTCTGAGGTCTTATTGGTTCTCGTTGATCTATAACTTCCTCTTGTTAAACTTCTCTTTTGACTTCAACTGCTGGTTCTTCGAATAAGATTCTTACTGAATCTTTCTTGACATTTTTTGTCCTATCCCATTCCTTAAGCTCATCTATGATTACGTCCCTGCTGATCACAATCTATTTGTTCACTGGGTCGAACAACTTGTAACCTCTTATCGAATGATATCCTACTAGGATTATCTGACTCGACTTGTCATCAAGTTTTATTCTCAACTGATCTGGCACATATCTATGTGCAATAGATCCAAATACCTTTAGATGACTCAAGCTAGGCTTCACACCATACCAACATTCTTTTGGAGTAATTCCTTCTAGCTTTTTCGTCGGACATCTGTTCAAAATATATGTTGTTATCGACATAGCTTCACCTCAAAACTCTTTAGGTAAATGCTTTCCTTTCAACATACTTCTCACCATATTCATGATAGTTCGATTCTTTCTTTCTGCAGTTCTATTCTGCTGTGGAGTGTAGGGTGGCATCACCTCATACACAATCCCTTCTTTCTCATATAATGTATCAA